AGTACGCGTCTATTCGTTTGTTTCGGATATCGTAGTCTCCACTGAATTGGCTCGTGACAAGATGAGAGTCACAGTAAGCACTTAGGCGTTTCGCTTTGACAGCTTTTGCCAATTGTAACCTGGCAATGAGAGATTCGTACTCGGTCTCGTTGTTAGAGGCGGCGAAGCCCAGTCAGAATGACTGTCTGATCAGTTCACCGGTGGGGGACTGCAGTTGGACTCCTGCTCCGGATCCTTTGTATGTGGATGAGCCGTCGACGTGCAGAATCATGTTGGAGTTTGGTAGGATTAGATCTTGTGCGAGCTCCGGCGGTAACTCGACCATGAAATCTACTAAAACTTGCGACTTGAGCGATGTTCGATTCCGGAAGATGATATCGTGCTCGCTAAGTTCAATCACCCATTTGGACAGACGTCCCGATTGATTGGTGTTTTGCATGATAGTGCGGAGGGGCTGATCTGTCAGCACTTCGATCGTATGCGACTGGAAGTACGGTCTCAGTTTCCTAGCCGCTGTGATGACTCTGTGGGCTATATTTTCGAGGGTTGGGTAGCGCGTCTCAAGATCTGTCATGCGCTTGCTGGTGTAAAATATTGGTTTTTGCTCGCCTCGGTCATCTTGGACGAGTACACTGCTGACCGCGATTGGCGAGACGGTGATGTAGAGGTAGAGCGTGTCTCCGGGTTCGGGCTTAGCTAAGACCGGTGGAGTGGTAACGTAGATCTTCAACTGACTGAAGGCTTCTTCGCATTTGTCGTCCCAGGTGAATCGTTTATTGCCGCGCAATAGCTCGTTAAATGGGAGGCACTTGTCGATAGATCGTGAGATGAAGTGGTTGAGGGCGGCTATTCGCCTCGTCAATCGTTGGACCTCTCGACTGTTTTTTGGGCTCAGAAGGTCGAGAATTGCGGAAATCTGTTTGGGATTCGTTTCGATTCCTCGCTGCTTGACAATGTAGCCGAGGAACTCCTCTGAAGTGACGCTGAAGGTGCACTTCGCTGGGTTTAGCTTCATTATGTACTCGTTCAAGGTTTTAAAGCATTCGCGTAAGTGAGTCAGATGGACAGCAGCACGAAACGACTTGACCAGCATGTCATCGATGTATACTTCCATTGTTTTGGCGAGTTTATCGGCGAACATCTTGTTTACTAGGCGCTGGTACGTTGCTCCGGAGTTCTTCAACCCGAATGGCATGACTTTGTAGTAGTACGTTCCCCTATCAGTCATGAACGCGGTCTTCTCTTGGTCTTCTGGATGCATCGTGATTTGGTTGTACCCGGAGAATGAGTCCATGAAAGTGAGGAGCTCGTTTCCTGCTTTTGATTCGACCAGGCGATCGATGTGCGGAAGGGGGAAGCTGTCCTTGGGCCATGCTTTGTTCAGATCCGTGAAGTCGATATAGACGCGCCATTTCTCGTTCTTTTTCTTGACCACAACTGGGTTTGCTAACCACTCGGGATATCATACCTCCGTGATCGATCCGGCTGCGAGCAGTCGCTCGACTTCTTCATTGACGGCCTTCGACCGTTCTGGGCCGAGCTTTCGACGTTTCTGTCGGATGGGTTTAAAAGTGGGATCGACGTTGAGCTTGTGAGAGGTAAATTTCGGATCGATTCCTTTCATATCTGAAGTGGTCCACGCGAAAGTTGACACATTTTCTTTGAGGAAGATAAGGATCGTTTGTTGCATCTCGTCAGAGATGTATGCTTCTATTCGTACGATCTTGCTGGGATCCTCGTCGTCAATTTGCACCTCGAGGACCTTGTCCTTCTGAGGGTATATCTTGTGGATAGGCTTCGCAACGGTGTTCACCCGAGGGGTCGACTGTTGGAGCTTAACGTAAGCGATCAGGAGATCGCGTGCGGCTTCTTGGTCGCCTCGTAATTTTTTGATCCATCCGTCATTCCCGGGAAACTTGACACATTGATGGTACGTCGAGGAAATGGCTTTCATTGAGTGGAGCCACGGCGTGCCGAGTATAACATGGTAGGGAGCGTCGGTCGTGATGACGGAGAACTTGACCATGCGGGTAACCTCGCCAGCATAGACTGGAGTTTGATGGTGCCGATCATTTCTTTCGAGACTCCGTTGAATCGGGTTAGGGAATGGTTAGACGGTTTCATGAGGTGCAGGTCGGCTCCCATCTTCTTAAGGGTTTTGTGGAAGATGAGATCGACCGAACTGCAAGTATCGATCAGTACCTTGGTCACTTCACAGTCTCCAATGCCCAACTCGACGAGGAGGGGATCATTGTGCGGCATATGGACTCCGAGTGTGTCCTCTGCAGAGAACATAATCGGGAGGTCGTTCTTTGGTACGGATGGCCATTTATGTGAGGTCTTTTCCTGACGCTGATGGGCTTTGATGGATCGAACCGAGTCGCCTCATGGGGATGAGCCCCCATGATAACGTTAGCTCGTTTACCTTGAAGTTGGGAACGCAGGTTGTAAGGCGAATGTGTGACTGAAATTAGCTCTTGCCCGGTCAGGTTGCCTTTGTTCGCATCGAGCTGCTGTCGCAGATCTTGGATTTTCGGCTTGCGAAGTTTGAAGCGGAGTTCGGCGACCTTTGAATTTAGGTGATCTCTCAAATCAGTTCCGATAGGGGACACGATGGGTATGTCCAGAGTGGCGACCTCGTTTTCGGGGCTGACGGACTCGGACGATGTTGTCTCAGTCGCGACGTTCCTTCGCTTTAGTCTATGCCGCAAATCAGTTGAGCTCAAGCTTTACCGTTCGGTAGGTCGCTTGTTGATGTATGCATGCAGATCTTCTTGGACAAGCTCGGGCTTGTGATTCTTCGTTAACCTCGGGCGCACGAGGATAACTTTGACTCTTCGTCGGTTTCTCGGGTGCTCCTCGTCGGCGGATGAGCCTCCTTTTTCCTGAGTCTTGGGAGCAGTCTCCTCGACGTTCGTCTTTTGCTCGGCTCGCGGAGTCTTGCCTTGCGGCTTTCGAGCCTTCTTGTCTTTGTTTTTACTCCGGCTGTTCTCCTTCGGTTTGGCCTTAGGAGGTTCGATTTCAAATTTTTCGTTGCCAACCGAAGAGAGGAAATGCTCGTACAGAACCTTGTATTCCTTTGTGTCGTGCTTCTTACTTTTGTGGTAGGAGCAGTACTTCTCTGGTTCTTCAGATTGAGATCCTGATGCTTCGGACACGCTTAGTGGCTTTTGCTCGTCGTCTGTCCTATCCCAATGGTTCCATCCTTTGGCTCGGACCATGACTGTTGAGCCCGGAAGGTTATCCTCATCAACCATGTATACGAAGCTTTTCTTCGGGTTCGCTTTGTCGCTTGAGGCATGCTGTCGTGGCTTAGGACTAGTGTCGCTGCTCTTGGACGACGCTTGCTTCATTGCGTTCTGCTTGCTGATGATTGCCTTGGTATCTTCCTCGATGCGGATGAAGTTATTAGACTGAGCATTGGCATCAGAGAGGGACTTGGTCGGGTGATGGTAGAGGTCGTCTCGGAACTTGGAGTGCACGTACAAGGTGTTCATGAGGGTGTTGACAGCAATGATGTCCGGGACTTTGACTTTGGACACGATGCCCTTAAATTTTTCCATGAAGCTGCGAAGGCTTTGCCCTTGCGCTTAGGAGAGATTCCAGAGGTCGGATGCGGCGGCTTCCTCGCGCGTGAACATTATGTAGTTCTTTAAGAAAACGAATGACAGGTCGTGAAAACTGTCGACAGAGTTTTCCGGCAGGCCGGTGAACCACGTGAGGGCCACACCGGTTAGACTCTCGACGAAAAGTTGGCAGTGGCCAGCGTCGCGTTCTTCGTTGGAGAAGTTCTGTCGCCTCATCACGATGTTGAAGGACGTGATGTGGGCCGTTGGATCCGAGAGGCCGTCGTAAGTCGGCAAGTGAATCTTATCGATCTTCGGAGTCTTACGTTGGTTATCATGCTAGTGAACGGAGTCCGTAGGGTGTCTGCAAGGACGCTTTCGATGAGCGGGGCGGAGGTTGTGACTCCGTGAATCTTCGAGTTTATGTCGAGGAGAGCTTGTTTAAGTGCAGCAATTTCTTGGACAGTCTATAGATCTGGACTGTTTCCCGGTTGCGCAAAGTCGTCCGGGGGTCCGGTCGGCATGATGGGCTGATTAGCCGGAGTAGGGATAGGGTTCGTGTTGAAGAGAAATCGTCGGGCCGTCGAAAGGTGCCCTCTGGCACAGTCCGGGTTTGCGAGTATGGTGGCGATAGCTGCAAGGTGCTCGTTTATCGCCTTTTGTGCTTCATCTTGGCGAGCGAGGCGCTCCATGATGGAGTCGACGAAGGTCGGAGCAAGTGGTATGGCGGCGCCTGAGGTTGGTGCTATGGCATCTCCTTCGTCGCCGGAGGCTAAATCGTTACTCGGACTCATCATGTGTTGACGTTACTTTGTTATGCCCCACGGTGGGCGCCAACTGTTTGAACCGAGTTCGGTCTTTTCAGTTCATGAGTGACTGGACTCGTCTATGGGTTATTTCAAAGGCATTTATTATTTAGAGTCGAAGAGTGCTTTTATTAATGAAGGAGTTCGGTTACAAATGAGGAAAGAAGAGGCAAGACGGAGTCTGTCGAAGAGCTCAGCCGTACCGTACAAGTCGGAAAGAAAGTAAAAGAGTGAAAACCCTAATTCTAGCCGCCTTGTGAGTAAAAGTGATTTCGGATCCCTTCCTTGTTGCCCTCTCTTCTCCTTTTATAGTATCCTTCATCTTGACCTAACGAGCTGGTCAATTGCGTTGAGGGCTTTCGCCGAATGGGCCCTAGTCGGCCCGTCAAGGTAAGTATCCTTCATAAACGTCATTAACTCGGATAATCGCGGAGGTTATCCGAATTAAACCTGATTAGTCGTTAACCAGCGAAATACTACCTTGTTGAGCTGGAACTCGTAAGGGTTGGGCCAATTATTCAATGGACCTTGTAAAGGGGTATTACACCACCAACAATAAATAATTTTTTTCTCAAAAATATTATGATAAGTACTAATGGTTAGCTGTTTTGTTTGGCAAAGATCAAACAACACCCCCTCCCCACTCAAAGCTTAGAACATAGAAAAGCTCTATTATCATTTTAGGAGATCTTGATTTTGATTTCAAAACACAGGTAAAGTTTTTGGGAAATTTTTGCTGCCAGTTTTCCTAGTTTAGTAGTTAACGTTTGAATGTTATAGATCAGTTTTTTTTCTTTTGTATAACAACTTTTTCTTTGAATTGAATCCCTGTAGAGAAGAGTTCGAGTAGAGAGACTGGATCAAGCTTCTTTCTTTGACATGGATGTAGCTTGAACAACCCAAAACAATACTATTTATTCGATTTCGCTCAAAACTTCCTACCCTTCTCCTTGAAAGATATGACTTCTCACATACCGCCCTTTAACCAGTCACCTACGCTGATCCCTAAGCCCGAGCCACTCAGTGATTCCGACCCACAAGCTCCGATTCCACCCTCATCCATCTTCAATTTCAACACCACAGTCGAAGCTCCCCTCGAACCTAACTTGTTGTGCAGAGAGTTTAACAACGTCGCAGAGACTTTTCGCTCAGCGTTCGCACAACGCCTCAAACGGCACGAGGACGTTACGGTTCTCGATTCTCTAACCGGCGCAATCGTACCAGTTCAAGAAGAAGAGGAGCCGGTTCCGATTAGTTACTCACTCAACGACCCTTCACCGTCCCTCGTTACCCGAAAGCCGAAGCCGCAGGAACGCTCTTCGGAGCTGGTGAGGATCACTGATGTTGGGCCTGAAGGAGAGAGACAGTTCCGAGAAGTTGTAAGGAAGACGAGGATGATCTACGATTCTCTTAGGATCTTCTTGATTTTAGATGAAATGCATGAAGAGTTTGGAATGGCAAGGAGGAGAGGTAGGCCTGATAGTAAAGCTGCTTCCATGATGAAAGAACGTTTTTTGTGGCTTAATCGTGACAAACGCATCGTTGGTTCGATTCCTGGTGTGCAAGTTGGTGATATATTCTTTTTCAGGCTTGAGTTGTGTGTTATGGGTTTACATGGACAGACCCAAGCTGGGATTGATTATCTCATTGGGAGTCGTAGCTCTAATGGGGAGCCAATTGCTACTAGTGTGATTGTTTCAGGTGGGTATGAGGATGATGATGATCAAGGAGATGTTATTATCTATACAGGACATGGTGGGCAAGACAAGCTTGGTAGGCAAGCTGAGCATCAGAAGCTGGAAGGTGGAAATCTCGCTATGGAGAGGAGTATGTATTATGGGATTGAAGTGAGAGTCATTAGAGGGTTTAAGTACGAAAACTCGGTTTCTAGCAAAGTCTATGTCTATGATGGGCTGTTTAGGATTGTTGATTCGTGGTTCGATGTTGGCAAGTCTGGCTTTGGTGTGTTTAAGTTTAGACTGGAGAGAATCGAAGGGCAGGTCGAGATGGGTACCTCGGTTCTGAAGTTTGCTAAGACTCTGAAAACCAACCCGATGTCTGTGAGACCAAGTGGTTACATCAGTTTCGATATCTCGAACAGGAAGGAGAATGCTCCTGTGTATTTGTTTAACGACATTGACAATGATCAAGAGCCTTTGTATTACGAGTATCTCGCCAATACTTCGTTTCCACGTGGCATATTGTTTCAACAGAGTGATAATGCAAGTGGATGCAACTGTATCAACGGTTGTAGCAGCGGCTGCCTTTGTGAAATGAAGAACGGTGGTGAGTTTGCTTATGATTACAATGGGAATCTGATAAGACTGAGACCGTTGATACATGAGTGTGGACCAGCTTGTAAGTGCCCTCCTACTTGTCGAAACCGTGTCACTCAAAAGGGTTTGAGAAGCAGACTCGAAGTGTTCAGGTCGGTGGAAACTGGATGGGGAGTTCGGTCTTTAGATATATTACATGCTGGCGCTTTTATTTGTGAGTATGTTGGGGTTGCTTTGACAAGGGAACAAGCCAACATCTTGACCATGAATGGTGATACGTTGGTTTATCCTGCTCGGTTTTCTTCCGCTAGATGGAAAGCTTGGGGAGATTTGTCTCAGGTCTTTCCTGATTACGAGCCACCCTCGTATCCTCAGATCCCTCCTGTTGATTTTGCGATGGATGTTTCGAAGATGAGAAATGTTGCTTGTTACATAAGCCACAGTACTGATTCAAATGTAATTGTCCAGTTAGTACTGCATGATCACAACAATCTGATGTTCCCTCGTGTTATGCTTTTCGCTGCTGAAAACATTCCTCCCATGACTGAGCTCAGCCTTGATTATGGAGTATCTGATGAATGGAGCCCCAAGCTCGCCATTTGTGATTAAAGTTGTCCTTGACCAGTCCGCCGCCTTATTTTTCAAGGTAAAAACTAAGATAATGGTTTAATAACTTTCAGAAAATAAGCTCATAGTGTTATGTTAATTGAAAAAAAAATTATCGCCTGCAAGAAATGGTTCTAAATGAGTCATCAGTCTAAGAAATATCGTATACGTTGTGACATGTTGCAGTTGTATCACTCTATAAATGTGCGTTAGTTTGTGTCTGATTTCATTTAGACAACTGCATTCGCGGAGTGTGATTATAATCTTGTTTGAGATACAGTTTGTCGTTAGTTTCTTCGGTTTTGCTCTTGAAACCAGTGATGTGCTTGGAGTCATATTGTCTTCATCTCATGCCGGTATTGATTCGTTTCTTGCAGATTGTTTAATCTTTCCTTTGGTTGGGGGATGAAGTATGAAGGAAAGCAGTTTGTGAAGAATCAAGGTTTGATAGACTCCATTCCTCCCACAGGTCCCATTGTGTACGTTTTGAGTTTTCTGTATGCTTGCACAATATGGGAGTCAATGTTTTAACGTGTATTAGTGTACAAAACTCGGAAAGATGTTCCTGTCTGTACCTGTTTGGTCTAGATATGTCTATGAAGTGAAACAATATTAACCTTCCTTCTCGCTCTCTTTTTTTTTTGAACAACCCTCATCTTTCTCTCTCAAAATTTACACTATTTAACAAATCCTTCTAAAAATCTAAACTAAAAGAAGTTGTTGGATCTATTTACTACTATTTATTAGTAACAACATGACCAATTTACTAATAACATGCATCATGTACATTTTTTGTTAGATTCTTTTTGTTTCTGATGAAACTAGACATTACACACCATTTGAATGGGAAAATTTGGAAAAAATACTGAGATTATAAATTGAAAACTACAACCTCCTTTTCATATTTTTTTTGTTTACAAATTACACTTATTCATAAGTGAAACAAACAAATTGTCCAAATTAATTTAACGTTTATATCATCAAATACTAACTTGACATTTTAATTCAAACCAGAAAATATATGCTAAACACATTTACTAATACTTTTTCACACCCTTAGTTTAAAATAGTAAATTAGCCCCACAAAATACTTATCACATCCTTATTCATAGAATATAATTTAGAGAAAAAAACTGTCGATCACTTTACCAACTAATTAATCTTTTATTCTCCTCTCTTTATTACAAAAGAATTAAAGGCAATATACATAACCCAAATAATATTCAGTTTATACACATAACAAGATAATAGCAATGATATCTTTAAAAATAAAGTTAGGTTTTTATCTCTCCTTAGGGGAAAATAAAACACGTGGCACACCAATTCTTTTATCCATCGACTTCGTACTGGGCCAGTCAACAGAGTCTGATGTTTAAATGTTTTAATGTTTAGGCCCATATTGATTTAGGGTTACATCATTATTCGGGTTCAGCTCTGAGAGCAGGCGCCGTATTCAGTCTACTGATGACGCCGACTTCGATCGAGCCTTTGTAACGTTCACAATTATATGGTGCTTAAATCTGAGCATTTACGTCACTTATACCACTCCTCCCACTCTCTAGCTTTTAATCGAGCGTATCATCTTCCAACATAACCTCCAGAAGCTCCACCTATAAATGTATTTCCACGAAACGATGAAAATCATTACATCTACAGAATCTGAAAGCTACTCACCAACTTAAGAATAGCCACTGTACATCCACCGCCCAGGTCCCTCTTATGAGGTTTTGGAAGGCAGTAATGTGAAGAAAGGCGGCGAGCTAATAGGAGGGCCGGTGATGTCAAACTCAACGTACTTCTCACTTTTCCCGTATAATATCTCTCATTAATCCTCTCTGAAAATGGTTTTTTTCATTTCTCCTAAATAAATGTTGTTTGGTGCAGGCAGGGAACTGAGACAAGGCTGCTATGGGAGGCCATGTGTTGATTTGCTTCTTCTGGTCGACGGGAAGGTACTGTCTCAGCCGGAAAACCTTTGCTTTAATATTTTTTTTTAAGCCACATTAAACTATATGTCACCTTTATGTTTACTTGCAGATATCGTTGGAGCAGTGAAGGGGTTTCAAACCATCTTCAAAGACGAAACTGAGACTACTCTGCACATCATGGCGAATATCATGATTGACAGGTACTAATGAATCTACTTTCACCTTTATGTTGGTTTTTTATGCTAGACTGTTTAAAATACTGGACAGCTAATTTGTTCCATGTTTAAATAAATTTTTAACATCCATCTATTTAGGGTTACTCACGTCTGCCTTAGTATTTTTGACAATCTGCTCATGCTCCTCAGTGAGAAATTGGTTGCCTTAGGTGTAGAACGAAGGTTAGAACCCAATGATGTTTTAGCTACAAACATCAACCCAAAATTATTTTAGCATCTTATAAGTTTATTTCTCAAACTACAGACATGCTGATCCTTTCATAATACTCTTCTTCTAGGACATCTTTTTCTTAACGCCACCTAGGACTCAGTTCTATTTCGACAATGAGAGCTGTTCGAAAGGGCTACTTGGAAAGGTAATGGGTTTAAGCTTCTCGCAATCTACACAAAAGCTACGGTTGACATCATCTATAACTTCTAACACAGTTGGTCCATTTAAGCACTTTAAGATGAAAAAGTGTATGCCTCCTACTCTACCGAGTATGGGTGTAAGGAAGATCGAGTCCTTGAATTTCTTGGACTGAGACTCTAGATCGCTACTCTTTCACCAAAAAAAAAACTCAACCTAAACTGGTAAGTGAGAATTACTCTTTATTTCCTTTTTTTAACTGGTAAATGCTATATAACTTAGCTCTGTACTCTGGTTCTAGATGTCTTTAGTGTTGTTGACAGTAAGGCTTTATTAATTTCCAGCATTTTTAGGTGTCCAGACAAAATTTGTAAATCTTCGAGTCTTCTCCTAGCTCAACAATAAGGAGAAAATCTCAACAATTCAACTGTTCAGATGTCATTTTCCTTTTTAATAATGCACCATACATTTTGTATTCTAATTCATTAACTTTTTCAGATTTGATTTATCGGCATAGGAACTTGCAGATGGCAAGTCGAGCTTCAGTAGAGTTTCACTCTCATCAAATTCAGAAACAGGTTAAGATCGCCTTTTTCCCTCCTTGATTCTGAAGTCATGCACTCGTGAACAAACTAAGAGAGAAGTATATGTATGTATGTATGTTGAAGACTTACAAATGCAGAAGTTGTAGTCCAATGTCTTTATTGTATTACCAAACTACCTTCTGTATTCTTTGCTTATTTGAGTACAATTATAAAATTGCAAAAAGAAAAAAAAAATATACAGCAGGTGGGGCATGTTGCGCATTCCTTCTTATCTTGCCCACTTTTGCTTCCCTAGCCATCATGGTTTCTTAAATTAGATATCGTTAGGCTTTTTATATTATGCAAATATGAAATAGAAGGACCTGTTTATTTAACAGAAAAAGGTGAGAAAGGGGTAGGTGAATGGTATGTAGATGAGGAAAAGGAGGCATGCCACCCAACGAAAACATCAGTCCAACCATTTACGTAAAGTCATCGACAATATCCTCTGGCTGTGAAAGGCTGCAATGACAATTAATACGAGACTTGCTCTCTCTAGAGTGATTTCACGGAGAAGGCAAAAAATATTAAAGGAGACAGCCAGGTGAAGAGAGCGAGCTAGAGGATATTGTAATTATTTTAATTGTAATTATAATGCCCCCTGGGCAAAAAAAAAATAATATAGCCTGTAGGCACTTTATTATTTTGCATGAACATTTTCAAAAGAAACTTAGTTAAAATAATTATATCTATTTTTTTAGCTGAAAAGTTTCTAACAAATTGTTAAAAAATTATTTTTAGTAATAAAAATTTTCAACTAAAGATGAATCGTAAAAAAAAACACTCAACTAAATTTAATAAAATAAATTCTCAATTTTAGTTCTGTTAATGTCTATCATCCGCCAAGATGTTTTAGACATGATTATTTAATATAATTATATATGATTTATACAAGAATTTTTCTTTTGAAACAATATTTAAAATATATTAAAAATAGATAGAAATCTGCATATACATGTTTTGTTGTTTAGAAAAACCGTTTTTATTTTACTAAAAGGTTGAAATTTTGGACACAAGATCATGTGGAGACCATACTCCCCGCCCTTCTACTTAAACCGTCCATGATCGCATCATAATAATACAATATTGTCGCATCTACTCCAATATCAAATGCATTTGAAACAAGAAAATATGCAAAATAAATTACACATATACATAGCTAAATAGTAAAACAATCTGCGCGAAGCGCGGACACACCACTAGTGTTATACTATAATGTTATTTAAATTTCCAAAATTAACTTTACATGCTTGTAGGAAGAACTATATTTTTTATCTTTACGTCAAAAACTGAAAAGTCATTACCATAATTTCCGTTTCCATGCGTCAACGAACAGCCATTTCAAGAGATTGATTAGTTGAAATCGATTGTGAGGTGGAGTTACCGAGGCGGAGTAAACGAAACGAAAAATCTTAAAGCTTTGTCTCTGGGTTCATGCAGGCCTGGCCCAGTAATAGCTGATGCCTAAAGAAAAAATAATTTTGGTGCCCTAGTAGCCTCGAACCCGTCACTCTATACACAGAGAAGACATGCACAACCAATAGACTACAGAAACTTTTATGTACTTTTGATGCCCTTAAATTGTTATTCTCTTTTGGCGCCTAAAGCCCTAGCTTCACCAGCTTTAGGTCAGGGCCGGCCCTGGGTTCATGTTACCGATAGAAGTTTGATAATCAAAGTTAGGTTTACGGAGAATCGTCAAAAATTACTGCGAACATTGTAAGGCAGAGCAATCTTCTACTAAGCCCAAGTAAGTCTGGTTTGATCTACGAGCATAGTGGTCTTATCCTCTGTTTTGAACCCCTCTCGCTGTGTATTAACACCACTAACACCATTTATTATTTATAGATTCAGGTTTATGGGTTTACGGACAGTCTAGCAATAAATGTTATTTGCAAGACAATTTAAGTTTACAGGCTCAGTTAGGATTTTCGTATTTGCCTCCTTCGCCATGGGCTCTCCATGGATGTTGTGGGAACCGAAATTCACACTTGTCGATTTCCGTTAAATAAGGAAACTTAGGAAAACCCTAATTTTCCAGAGGAACCGGATCTCTGCGAAAGCCAACGACAAGTAACCAAATAAATGCGGAAAACTATTAAAAACATAATAAAACGAATTTAAAGAATAAGTAGATCCTATTTCGATTTCGCGTAAGAGCGTTGCGATCATTACAAGGGTTTACAAAGGCTTTGGCCGCAGGGCCGTCAGCAAATTATCAACATAAAAACATTAAACCTAATCGAGTCGCAGCTCGATAACAAAAGACGGAAAAAGATAGGAAAAGGATTTGAATGATTTCGGACTGAACCTTATGAAAGGCTGCCTACGTACCCCTTTCGAGGAAGTCAAACATAGTTCAGTTGGTAGAGCTGGACCAGAGATCGAACTGCCTGGGCGAGTTTGTCTAGTAATTGAGCGCCAGTCATAGAAACCGAACTTGTCGACAAAAAGCCTAAGTTTCTAAGTGCGGAAAATTCTAAGTCTAGAAAAGTTGTGAAAGTCTCAGATGAGAGCTCTCGATTTCGTCCCTCTGCTTCTGCC